TGCAAATTAAGACTGGAATATATAATTTATGTCTCATTTGTGAAAATTTGACTCATTCTGGTAGGTATACACTAGGCTTCACTGGGAGTGCCATCCGACTGAGTGATCTCCAAATTGGCTCAATATGCAGGCATCAGTTTTTATTCTCTTTATGAAAATCAATTACCACTGTACCTACTTACACCACTGAAAATAGTGTTCCAACTGTTTCTGCTATAGCTGTTATCGTTAACCACTATTAATATCCTCAGTTCTAAGAAAAATATAATATCCAAACTTTACTGCCTCCATTATAGTTGATTGTTTCAATAATAACCTGATTAGTGAGAACAAGGGGTAAAAGAAACAAACAACAAGGTTTGGTTGCTAATGAAACTATTGAAATATATATTTTTAGAAATTATAGAAAAAACAGTTGCTTATTCTAAGAAATGACCCACTGATTTCTTCTGAGCTAACAGAGTAGCAGCAGGAGAAATCAATCCAACTCGTTTTGTGCTTCTACGTGGAATTTACTGGAACGCAAGTTTGCAGAGCCACTCTTTTCAAACACATAATCAATGTCCAAACAGCAACCCAGCCCAGTTTCTGGAGATATATTTATTTCTCAGTATGATCATCATAAAAGAACTTCTTTGAAAGAATGTTATTAACTTAGTAGCTAAGTAACATCAAATAGCATTTCTTATGTAGCAAAGCTCTTTTATTACTTTTAAGTAATAAAATATATATACAACATGCGAAAAAAACAAATTTATTACTGTATTTTAGGGACAAATGTAGGAGGGCAGAATATACCTTCAAAATTTATTTTAAATCATGATGAAGCCAAGGTACAAAAGCTTGAAGTCCCCAGAGCACATAATTACAGAATTTGATCCATCAACATACAAGTACTAGTTTCTGCAAGCTCATATACATTTAATTTTAAGCATATGGGGACTTTTCAAGAACTTCCATGCACAACTTTCTACTTCACTGAAAAACAACAAGCGTTCAGGTATTTTTCCAGTTCTTCAAGATAAGATTTTTAAAGTGTTCTATTGGCAATATGTTCGTTTCCTGAAAAAGGAATCCAACCTTTTCACCAGCTGGTTTTTTTCATTCTATTTCAGTTTTCCAAGAAAACCATTAGCAGGAGGAGGAAACAGTAAGTATAATTCTAAACAGGGAACCAGAAATTAGCATTGCATGTGGATTCTGACAAAGAAGTTGCAACTCTGATAAGCTGTATTTTGGCTTTAATGACAGCCTTAGGGCATCCATGTGTGTACATGTAATAAATCATCCCATTGAAAAGAAAATTACTGAGGAGGGGAAAAAAGCTTTCTTGATAGCAATTACACTAAACTGTTTGAATTAGCAGACCCACAGATGGTTCTTTGTTGTCCTCCGTACACATTAGAGAGAAGAATGTTTCATTACATCAATTCACTCACTTGAAAGGAAAAAAAATCAGGACCTGGTTATTAATCACACTAATACTACATAGGCTTTGTAAACTAAGGAGGCTTTTGACTGCAAAAACGATGTAGAACAAAAGACTAATTAAGCTTTTAGGCCTGACTTTTCAAAGGCAGTGAAAGTTGGACGATATCTAGGTGAAAACAGCAATCTCTTTTAGCTGCAGGCAGGGATTCAGAAATATATCCCCATTACTACTTGGTCTGGCAATGCTGGTGCTTTCTGAGCATGGACACAGCATGCACACCCTTTCAGCAAAGAATAATCTAATTAAAATGTATACTTGCATATGGACATGCTGTGCCACTCCTTTCCAATTTAATTGTAAGGATTATTACAAGAACACAAATACTCCCCCGCCAGCAGCTTAAACAGTTTTCTCTTCACAGCTGTTGCTGTTGTGATATGGACAGCTGTTTCTTCATTAGCCCTGTCCGCTTCTCTTCTAGAAAAGCACGTCTGATTCAGATAAACACAAACAGGACACTTTTGCCTGACCCATTGAGAAGTACATGCTAATGACCATTTCAGGATTGAAATATACCCTGCCAGCAGCTTTCACATATGAAGCTAGCTTTCCTGATGACCGTTCAAACAGAGGTCAAAACCCTGACCCTCTGAAAGAAAATGGTAATCTTGTTACTTACTTCAGTAGGACTAAATTTCATCCTGGCTTTGTTTCATGGGTACTCCTTCTCTCAGTTGCTTCCTTATTTGTACCTCCTTTCTGGAGTGTGCTGGTGAGTCAATTACAGAGAAGCCACCAAAGCCTTGATAAGGCAATAAGGGGAACCTGCAGCAGTCACCACCTCTGTCCTCTCCAGAAAGTTAAGAGATTGTCCCCATCCTCAGTTCATCAACAGTCCACTTCCTGGTGGGATAATCTGACTCCCATTGTCTGGTTAAACTCTAGGTTATAAGTTGCCATGTATCAACTATAAGTTATATTTAGAGTCTACAGCGCTCTCTCTCTTCTGGGATAATGATAGCAGTAATAAAACAAACTATTTAAAGCCTCATATTTCTTGCAGTATTAGTTATGTAATACAAAAATGTGTCAGGGAAAAAACTATGAAAACCCAGTACAGCAATGACTAGCCTACCAGGTACGGATCTATTTCTGCACACTACCATGGCAGGACTTAGCTCCCTCTTATGCTCCTACCCAGAGACATATGTTCTCCCTCTCTATCAGCCTGTCACTGCTCAGTGAAACAACTTCCTGGCCTACTTCTGGCAACCTTCACAAGCACCAGACCATTTTTTAACTGTCTGTAGCCCCTGATTACGAATCTTAGTTTCCATGAAATAAGGTTTGCCAGCAGCTAGGTACAACCCTTTGAAACAAACTGAATGCCCTACTTGCCTTTAAATGCCTGCTGGGTTGCTGCTGTCTAGGAAACCATTGTGTATACAGTCGGGTTTGCGCGCAACTACTGGAGATATCAAAAGCTCCTGTCTCTCCTGGACCATGTTCAGAGGGATGCATGATGGCACTAATGCATCATGGCATCTTCCAGACACTTGCTGTGCTCAAAGTGAGAAATCATCTCTTTTGCAGACTCTGAAAAACCTCATAACTAACACGCGAAATCAGACACACTCT